CTTGGACTGTTTCCTTTCTGCTGTGTTGCCATAAGCTGATTTGCAGACATGTTTCAGCAGAGGGATCTGATGATGACTTCTCTTCCAGGATGGCGGTGGGAAGCTCAGAGGAGACAACAAAGTATTTTCAGCCACAACAACAGTTACTGTCAATGTGGAGGATGTTCAGGACACTCCTCCCATGTTCATCGGGACTCCCTACTATGGATATGTCTATGAGGATACACTCGCGGTAAGTGCTTGTTTTCGCCTGTAGGAGAACAAGTGCAATCTTTCACATCTCAGTCAAGATGGCCCTATGGTTTCTAGCACAGGCTTTATTGGAAACTGGGACCTAAACTCTGATTTGACTCCTAGGTGAAATGACCTGACCAAATCTCAGATTTGTTCTTATTTACATCCGTTGCAAATTTGCCATGCAAGGCTTCCTGTTGCTGTCACTAAAGTCAGCAAGGATTCTGCCCATTTATGTTGGTCTAAGCCCAGATAGTGACTAAGAGCTCTGTCATAGCTGAAACCTGCAGAGGCACTTGGCTGAAGAATTAAGCAGGTTGCCAGTTACTTCACCTGAACACATCATGCTAGAAGCCTTTGTGTGTTTGTGTGCTTTGTGGTCTCACGGTGCTTTTATTTTCCAGCTGATCAGTCTGGTACCAACAGTTGGTTGTGCAATGTGTGGGGAGAATTTATGCCCAAATGCTTCAGACTCTTTGTGCTGTCCCATGGAAGCAATCCTGACCACCCCAAAATGCAGGATACTTTCTGCTTCAGTGATGGCCAAACCAGGACAGCCAGATAGGCAGAATAGACCAGGAAATCCTCCCCAGGCCTAAAACCCACCAGATTATCAAGCAAGCAGGGACACACATAGAACCACTTCCAAGTGGGGACTCTGCATTTGTCAGCATGTGTCTGCTGCTGAAGATACCACTTTGTATCTATCACAGAAACAGAATCCAAGGAGTACACTGAGCTCCGGGCTGTGCCATCGCCTCAGAAATGCCCAATGGCAGATTTGCTTAAAAGGGAATATACAACTTAGCAAATTAGTACATTATATCCACCATGATGCTTGCAGCCAGATATTATTCTTGAAGCTGCAAACTAATGAATTTTCTCTATATCTAAGCAGTGGCATGATACTGTGTATGGATCAGCTTTCACCCTGATACATAAGATTTAATTAAAATTTTCTTCATGCATAGGACGAGTAATGGTATCTATTCGTGCAATTACCCAACACTAGGCTATTGATCTATTCAGCAGTGTGATTGCACACTGTTCACCTGATCTTTCCGTGAGTTTCAGGAAAGATCATGTCTTTACTTTTTGTCCAGCACTCCGATGTACACTGCAGTCCTTGCACGACTGTATATTGCAGTTCAGTGCGTAGGCTGTTACATTTCAGCAAGGCAGAGAACTAATGCTTGTGTATTTTGCAGATGTTTGGAATGAATGATATTATGTATATTGATTTATTCTGCATAGTTACATATAGATCTTGAAATAACTATCAGGTGCACACAGGAGTTAGTGTTTACTATGGAAATGGGAGTCAATAAATGTTAATTACATCCAGCTTGAGCTCATAATTTACACCATTATGATATTATAATGATGGAAGCACGAATTGGTCCTTCCCAGTGTGGGTTTTGCTATTAGAGTGAACTCCACAGAGACATGCACCAGCTGATTTTAGTGTTGTTTACACATTTGGTGTTAATTTTGTAAACTTGCTTCTTTTCTCCTTGGTGGAGTTATCAGGATTTACAAGTACTCTGTCACCTTCAAAGGGACTGCGCTGCAATTTGCCCAGTAGGCAGATTTTATTGCAGCTTCCAGCATAAATGATAATAAATACAGTTCTGTATTTCTGGTTGCTCTAACAGAACCTTGCTCTTGTTTGAAAAATTCACTCAAGGGTTGTCATGAAAATGTTCCTTGTTGCCATTGTGATTAACTGACAGTTACTTCAACGTTCCCTGTTTTTGCAGCTCCAAAGAGTAACACTTTAGTTCAGAAGCCTAAATTGTACAGCTCATTTCCACTTGGGTAAGCATTTTAACACTGACAGTCATCATCCCTCTGAGTTGATAGGAGTAGTCACATGAGCAAATGGTCCCCAGCACACAAGTTCTGTACGTATGGCCCACAGCCATGTTACTTGTGCAGAAAGGCAGACAGTGAAGGTTGAAGGACAGTTAAATCACTGTAATTTTCATCACAATTTTATGCCCTAAATGTTCTGTGGGCCAAGTTGCTTTGTGATCTCTGTTTGCTTTTGCTGCCTATCTGAACTTAATTAGGTAGGACCAAAATGACTTGATGACTCCTCAGCAGCTGCCTGTGTCTCAGCACGCTTTGTGGCCATGGGGCACGCAGCGGTGCCGGGCACCTACGCAGCAGCTGCCAGAGGGCATCTTGGATAGTGACCCAAACTAAACCTCGGGTCTCAGACTGGTTACTCCAAATGCTCTGTCCAAGCCTGTGGCTCAAGGTAGGTGTCCCTGGCCATGGCTTCCAACTGCTGCTGCGGCCGGCCAGCCCCTGGGGCTGAGGCATCTGTGGCCACACGGAGTCTGCAACCGTTTCACACCCATGCCATCGGCACTGCCGCAGCAGTGGGCACAGAGCCATGGGGAGCAGTGCCATGTTCCTGCTGGTCCTCTGGTGCTCATCCAAAGCTGAGTTGGAAAAAAGGATGAGAGGTCTGGGCAAACTGGCACCCCTCTCTTGGCAGGTGCATGGCATGCCCCAAGGCTGCTGCAAGCCCTGTCCTTCCTCTGGGGCAGCTGAGGCCCACACACCAAAGAAGGTTGCTCTGCCATCGGTGCAGGCAGCAGCATGGTGCTGGCAGCAGGCTGGTGAGGGCAGGTCACATGGTGACCATAGGGAGTGAACAGCAGTGGGGGTGTCCCTGCTTTGTATGGAGGTACAGTGCATGGGCTGCGACATCACTGGGGACAACTAAAACTACCAATGTAGGAACAACACAGAGTTGGTCTAAGGAGTTCAGCTCCTGCTCTGCAAAACCAAGCACTGATTTTTTCTGGGTGGGAGTCAATGGCCCTTGCTGTGTTCCCCATACAGCACAAGCAAAAGTACCCACTCCCCCACATACACCTCGCTGCAGAAAGGCTTAACAGAAGTTCAGTTTATTAATAGGCAGTAGCAATTTCACTGCTCTCATCTCAGCACACAGACTGTGATTTCCTGTTTCTCCCCAGGGCTCTGAGGTCCTTACTGTTGTTGCTCTTGATGGAGACAGAGGAAAACCTAACAGTATTCATTACTGCATTGTGAACGGTGAGTAGACTTGTCTTGTATAAATCTGAAGGGCAGTTGAAACTAGATCTAACATTAAATTAGAATGGGATATGCTAGAGTTTAATAAAGCTGAGACAAACTCTCATAAAATAATGTCAGGTACCTCAAACAACTCCAGGGCCCTGTCTACGAGACAACAGCCAAGATACGATTCACTGAGTTTTAGTATCTGCTTCACAGAACTATGCTTGGAGTTGTTAGTGTTGCAGACTTGTTAGGCATCAGTAGCCTGCTTGTCATTTCAGAAAGCATAAAGGGAGATGCATTCACTGCTACTGAGCATCTCTATCATTTAATCTGGGAGGTGACAGAATGCATTGGAAGACCCAGACATGGTATTTAGAGGGGTATTTTTATTAGTATTGTGATTAAAGTGGCTAAACGGTCAAACCTTTGATTACTTGGAAGAAAGTATCTTTACCAGTGAAGAGACACTGGCTGTGCACTGCACTGGAAGAAAGTAGATGTTATCAGAAGATGAATGCTTTTCATCAGCTATTCTGAGAGTGTCTGTCGCACGTCTTTTAATAGCATAAATGTGAGACTTAGCTGAATTGATGATTCATTAGCTGGTGAAGTCAACAACTTAGCTCAACTAACCTCCAAGCTGCAACTTTAGTTTTGTTTGGTTCTCTCTTCCTCCAAAACAAGACTTTCATGGCAACTGGGCACTCCAACTCCCAGGTGTGAGAGATCCCAAAATTTCCTAGGAGAAATCTGAGGTGTAGTTGCAAAGTTATGCAGTAAGTTCTTCATTTTGTTACATGATCTAAACAGCGAGGTCTGCAAAGGACAGCGAGGTTTACAACTGAGATTTTGCCTTGATGTGGGATGGGACCCATGCTGAGGTTCCTTCTCCTCAGTGCAAGGGAAGAGATAGAAGAGGGTAAGAGGAAGGTAGAAACGTTGAGGAAAAAAAGGTTGCAGAAGAGAACAGGTGGAAAATGAGAAAAGGTAAAAAGAAAGGTGGAGAATGAGGAGTAAAAACAAATAAGTGGGAAGAAACTATGCTAGACAAGGGAGAAATTGAGTAAGGAAAATAAGCGAAGGCAGATGAACCAGTGAAAATGTCAAAGGGAAATAGAATTAATGAGGAAAGGTATTAGATTTCCAAAGAAAATAGAGGAGGACCAAAAAAGGTAAATGATTAGGAAAGAGGGGAAAATGAAGATGGAACGGGATGGCAGATAAGTAGCATAAAATACGACTTAATGGAGAGCAGGCTTTCCTCATGCACATTAACACAGGATTTTGTTAGCATTAAATGGAAAAGAGGGGAAGGGAATATGCTTTTAGTGCATAGAAAGTTGAAGAAATAGATAGAGAACAAAGGATTACAACAGGTTTCTGCCCCTGCAGCTCAGGCCCTGGCATTTCTCATGACAAGCCATTATTCCAATAACTGCAGGCTGGGTTGTCAAAGGGCAAGAAAATACTAACAGCAAATAGGAAATTATTTATTCTTTATAACCATTTTTTATCCAGGGAGTGTGGGATCATTTTAGAAAATACTCCAATCCTCTGAACATGCTGAACGAAGGAACACACATAATACTACATACTCTGAGTTACCAATTTCCCTATGATAACTAGACAATAATGTGAAGCATGGTGGCTTGAAACCACTATTGACTTAAGCTTCTTCTCAGTCAGGATGTACTTTTCAGGCTAATGTATATTAATAATTGCCCATTGTATGAGTCGATATCTGTTCAATGTTGTATCTAGTGTACTTTAATGAAGTTGCGGTTATTGCAGGTATTAGCAAAACAGGATACTATCAGTTAGTTTAAAAATCAGCATTGGAATTGAGTTAGAGAAAAAGAAAAATGACTGGGCTTTCTGATCGTCATCCTTTATTGCTGAAGGCTTGGTCTCCTTCATCGTAAGGGTTTTCCTCTCTTTTCCTTTCAGTGGTAGGCTGTGCCACAAAGCGTAGGTTGTGGCCAATACCGTACGTGAGGTGTGTGTGCAGGGGTGCCCATAGCCCCTCGGCAGGGCAGGGCAGGCCCCCCTGAGCTGCCAGCTGGTCCCCTCCCTGGGCACCAGCCTGCTTTTAACTGTGATGGTGAGATGGGTGCAGAGATTGTGATGAGATACCGCTGCCTCTCCGCAAGCAGGCACTTGCTTCAGCACAAATTCACCAGATCTCAAGGGACTGTGGCCCTGTAACTGATCTTCTGTTCAGATCAACAGAAGTTAGGTTGGTGTTAGTAAAGTCAGCCTGCAGCCCTCTCCTGCCTGTGTCAGACTCTGCCTCAATGCAAAAAGCCCGAGTTTTACCCCAGATCCTCCAAAACTCCTTTTTGTTCAGGATAGCCTTGCAAGAGGCTGAGTGTTTTTTAACAACTGAGTAAGTCCAGCAGATGCTTCTCCAGAGATGCTGTCTGCAGAAAGAGTGACTATGTTTCCTTCAGATTGTCAGACTTCTCACCTTAGCTGATACAAGTGAGAGAAATGTTCTTGTTTCTCAGAGACTTAATTATGCATTTGCTAATTACAAAGAGGAATGTCTATTTTTGTCTAAACCAGCATATAAAGAAGACAGCATAATAGAAATGAATACCAAATTTACATGCCTGGTTGCTAAGGCTTGAAGGCAACCTGACGAGGGATGGTGGGAAGAGGAAAGTAAGGACAGCTGCCCATAGGGGCAGAGCTCCACTGAGCCGTTCCTAGGGAAGGAAACACTTTTTGGCCCTCATCTGTGTTTTCATCTCACTGTGACCAGGCATAGAAATGCTTCATTTTTGAAAAGCGCTTCAGATCTGCTAATAGATATGGATACACATATGGACAAAGATATGCTTAATGAAGGGTATGGTTGATTGCTCATGCTTATTCAGAAAAAGGAAATGTGGCATGTAACTAGAGCATCTTGGTTTCATTGCAGGAAGTGAAGGTTCATTTGAAATTGGCAACACAACTGGAGCCATTTCTGTTATAAAAAGCCCAAATCAGCTCAAGAAAGAAGTATATGAACTAAAAGTTCAGGTATGTTCTGTGGCCACTTGAAGACTTGGTCCTAAATGGCATGAGTAGGCATGATTGTCTAAAATAGCTCAATTATAGCTGACTTTACCTGGTTTAGAAACTACCTCCTATATTTGAGCAGAGTGCCAGATAGTATAAACCAGAGCAAACTGCTTTTGCTCCTTGGGATATTTAGTGTCTCAAATGACTTCTTTCAAATGAAGTCATCTTGTCCTAATTTCATCTCTTAATCAACATCTTTACAGTACGTGGATAACTGTTCTCCATGTTTTCAGTTTTTATTGCTAAACTGGGAATTAATGTCTTGTAACCTCTATGTGATGAGATAGGTAACTGTCAAATCTATGATTAGTAATAGGATTGGGGTAGATCATCCAATGTCATATCTGTATCCACTCCTGAAGTATTGATCAGCCACATGCAAATTAGATGCGAACACCTTGATGAGCTAGTATCAGTGTGACAGGCTGCATTATTTTAAGCAGTTTCTGAAGACCAAGAGTTTAAAAATATGTAGAGTTAAATTGTGAAGACTATATCAGTTTTCTTCAGCAAATGCATATTACAATCACAAAAGTTTGTCATAGTAAGGACAATATTGCCGAAAGGCAGCTTTGAGGTCTTGCACATTGCCAGATCCAGTGTAGCATCCTCAAGGGCACTTGCTTGCTAGTGGGCTCAAGCAGCTTGCTGAACCTGGAGATCATAGAGTTTCTGTTGTCCGAGTAAACTCAGGCACCACTTCTTCCCCTAATCTCTCTGGTGTACTGCAGTCTGCTAGTGCTTCCCAGATACAGGATTAGTTAATCCCTTGCAAGCTTTTCGGATCTCCTAATTATATCTGTGCCAACCCAGAGCTCATGCAGGCTACAAAATCTGCCTGAGGAACCAAAAAGGTGGTGTATTACCCGGCGTAGGTAGTGACAGGTGCCTCATTTACCAGACTGGCATCTTCAGAGAAATTTAACAGTCTAGTGCCTTTAGTTTTGAGCCCTTTGAGAAAAAAAAAGCGCATGTTAGAGAGAGCTATTTTGTTACAAAAACACCAGTGGGAGTTTCTGTCCTGATGGAAGAAATGTCTTAGGTTCAATCCAGTGAATCAGGCTGCATGTTGGAATTGTTGAAACGCAGACAGATTTGACCTTTCAGTTCAGAAAAATGCCAACTAGGTTTGCTTGTCCGTCCAAACTATATCCAGTTTAAATTAAGCTCATCTAGACAGCAAAGCAGAACTGTAAATTGGAGACTAAATCGCAAAAAAAAAAAAAAAAAAAAAAAAAGTGTGTCATTTTTCTTTTTCAAATATTTGCCTAAATACTGCAAGTAGTATTTCTCACAGTTTTCAAAGCTGCAGTCCTTTCAGCAATGTGAAAATCAACTACCTGTGGTACCACAGCAAATTTAAAGAATGTCTTCCTTTTCTATTCTGTCAACACTTTAGGCAAGCAATTATCTTGCCTCTATTAGATTATCTATCTTTAGAGAACTGTTTTCACCTAGGGTGAGTTACTAAGCTCACTAAATGAGGAGGAGAATTCTTTCACTGGGTCTTTATTGGGACTGGTTTATTACTATAATCTTCTAATCATCATAAACTTCGGTGTGAAATGGTCTGAGATTTCTAGAGAAATATAAGGCTGTGAATCTTCATACAAGTTAGGGTGTTAGGGTGATTTGTACATGCAGAACAGTATCTGAACACGGACCTGAGGAAAAAGAGTATACCCTCATTGTTCTTCTCTCTCTCCTGCCTGCTGCAGGCATCAGAAGTCAGTCAGGAAGGTGACGTCTCAGTGCACGCTTTTGCCATGGTGACTATACGGGTGGTCGACCTCAACAACCATCCACCAACATTCTATGGAGAAAATGGTCCCCAGAACAGGTTCGAACTGACCATGTACGAGCATCCCCCAGAGGGTGAAATCTTGAGAGGGCTGAAGATTACAGTCAATGATTCAGATCAGGTAAATGGAAACTACGTGGACTTTCAGTTTTCCTGTCCTATTTTCCCAGAGACTAGAAAGAGCTGTCAGATGGGGAAATGTCATTTTAGTAACTCAACTATTTCACCTGCATTCCCCAAAAGCCTAGGGCAGACAAAGTAGTTGTAGGGTCCATTACCACAAAGAGTCTGGACCCAGAAGTATACTTAGTTTGTCATACTTTTATGTTGATGAGAAGGGTGGTCCTAAAGCTGCAGCCCAGTTCTTGTGGCGACTAAAGTTGAATGGTCCTTATGAACTTCCCCTGACTACTGGTTACGTTCAGTTGTTGTCAGAGTCACGTCCAAAACTGTACTCCCTTGAGGATTTACTCCCTTGGGGAGTTTCCAATCACTTTAGTAACTTCAAGCGCAATTGCTGTCTGTATCTTCTCAACCCCTGCTGAAAACAACACAGTCTGTACCCTTACATTGGTCTTATTACAATATATTATCCGCCTAGCCCTTATGTTACAACCAGAATCTGCAGTGCATGCTTTGATAAATCATTCTCACTGGAGTGATATTTTTAGGTAATCTTAAAAATTGTGCCAGAGCCAAGCTAACGCTAACCAGATATAGGAAAAGGAAAGAAGACTCCATCCATCTCAGCTTGCTATCTAACTGACCTGTGTTGCCTGTAGATACTATGGTGATGGTTGCTATAGGGATCCCTAAGCTAAATACTGTATGAATGGCATCCATCTGAGTTAGCCTGAGGTGAGGTAGTGACAAGAGAAAAGCTTAATGCATCTGAGAACTGTATTACTATTGGAAGGAGTGCTCTTATATAACTGTGCTCAGTATTGTGCTGTTTTGACTGTATTGTACTCTGTCAAACCCACCAGCCTCTTCCCCCTCCCTCCTGCTGCTCTGCAGCAAGCAGATAAATGACTGCTTTCAAAGCAGTGCTACGTCTATCCCGCTATTGTTGCGGGGGATGTTGCTGCAGAAGGAAAGAAACAAAGCCCATCTCTTCTATTTAGAGACAAAATATGTATGTATCATATGTAGGCTGACAAAATATTCAGGTTGCAAGTTAGGCTACAAAATAAGCAGAAAACATTGCTAAATACACGGTATAGATTTCTCAAGAAGCTTCCTAGAACAGTGTAAGACATCACTCTAGAGAGGCTGGGTTGCTTTTCTTTTAAGGCATAGAATGCAATGTTTTCCCTTCTGCACAAGAGAACTATATAGAGAAGAAAATTAAACATATGTCTGTTTCTGTCACAGCCCTTAGTGACTCTTTCTTTTGGGGGAGTGCATGATACAGGTGAGGAGGAGGAAGCTGTGGGCAAGGTCTGGTTTAGGCCTATAGTTTGATGGAAATACCATCTTTACTTGCAAGAACATTATGCAGAGATTTCTCCCCCAGCCCTCTTCGTCTGACAGACACAGCTTAGGGCTCAGTGTTGTTGTTCCCTCAGTCATTCCTGTGTCCCATGGCTGTCCGCTTGGAGACATGCAGCAGCATGGCTTGCTCTGAGCAGATCTGAGTTCAGTGCACATCGCTGTCAGACATCACTCATCTGTTGGAGGGAGGCAGTTCTCTCCCCACCCCATGCCACCATCCCTCCAGTCATGTACAGTCCCAACTGCAGAGGACTTGGTATGGTCAGACGGTCCATTTTCCCCATCAGCACTATTTTCCATGGTCCAGCAACACTGGCTTTGTGTGTTTGGCTTTACTACTCAGCAAAAGAGAGGTTGTTGTCACCTCTGTAGCTGTGGGGGTTTGTATGACCAAACAATACGGACCACGGAGTTTGTATCCAAGATCATTCTGTTTCCCTTGGGGGACTACTGCTGAATACTTTTCCTCTTGACGTGAGCTAGGGTTGCAGCCAGAACTGCTCATAACAAGCCTTCAGGGATACAGCTGAAAGTAGAGTTACCCTGTTTGAAAGGTACTATTAGAAATTCTTCATCTCAAGGTTCATGCTAGGGGGAGAACATGGCACCAGCCAGGCGGTGAATCTGGGCTGGTTTGTCACAGTGTAAACATGACATTGAGAAATTGGTGAACTCAGAGAGCAGGTGAAGTGGGCCCAGCTCATTTTCTCATCTCCCCTGTAAGGCAGAAATATGAGAATCCCTATTTCATCTTTTCTCTTCCATGCTCCACTTTGGTTTAAAACTACTGGTCTGGCCAACTGGCTCTGGCTCACTCTTCCCAACTCACACATAAGTGGTGGTAACCTTTTAGATACTGCTGCTTCTCATGTCCTCTCTGGCTAGAAAGTTTATTTATATTATGGGATTTGGCTTCTCGTTTCACCTGGAGCCATCAAATATGTGTCAGATTTTATTCTGCACAAGTGGAGCTCCTCTCTCCATCCAAGTGCATCAACTTCCAAAAAGTTTAGAGGTCTGGGCTAGCTTAATCCAATCAGTGCAAACCGTGGAGTACCACCTCTCGAAACTGCACATCTTCGTGGCTCTGCATCATCATCCCAAGCTCTTAGCTCTTAGGACACAGGCTGGGTTTTTGAGGGGTCCCTTGTCCTGACTCGGGCAGTTCAGTTGTCTTTCCTTGGCAGGAACCAGGAGGAGGCAGGACTTGCCAATGTGCACATGGTGTCAACTCTGTCACCTGCACTAGCTCACAGTGTGTGGTGCGAAGCCCAAAGCTGCTTGCCAGAAGAGTCCCTCTCTTAGCCAGTCCTGCTGCAGGGTTTTTCCATTATGACTGAAAGAATAACCAAGCTTGTCAATCTATCTTAAGCAAAGCTGTGTCCGTCTTGTGACCAGGGCTGGAGGGATTGTACAACTAAGCTTCTTAGCAGTCTCTGCCCAGGGGATGGAGAGCCGAGGGCTCTAGGCAGTAAGACTTATTCTAATTTTATACAGTGTGAAGAAACAGAGCCAATCTAGGCCGTAAGATATGCGTTGTTCACTGAAAACAATGCCGTATCTGCTTTTATTCACAGGGAGCCAATGCTAAATTCAACCTCCGTCTTGTTGGACCTGGTGGCATCTTTCGAGTGGTTCCCCAAACTGTCCTGAATGAGGCTCAGGTTACAGTAATAGTGGAAAATTCTGCTGCTATTGACTATGAAAAATTCAAGGTGTTAACCTTCAAGGTAATTCTGCTTTCTGGGTCCTCTCCGCCTGTGTATATGATATGTGCATGATGGGTTATGTATCTGACGGAATTTAGCTTCTTAATCCACCTGGAGCTGTCTGATGCATTGTCAGTGACATTATATTCCATGTAAAGGAAACTCATTTCTGCCTCTGATTCATCAACTTCCAAAGGTTTAATGGATGCATCTGTAGACTAATTTAGTCCAGTTAGGGCAAAATGTTGAGTATTATCTGTCTGTGGAAGCTGCACATGTTGGTGGCTCTGAGCCATTCTAGACTGAACCCTAAGGGTGTTATTTCTGCTCTTACAATAATAAATTCACAGCCTGAAATCCTAATTTCTCTGGAGCTATAACTTTACCTGCTTAGTCCTAAGTAATTTGGTTCACGATCATGCTTTTGAATGTTGGCAGGCTAAAGACCCCAGCTGACTGGAAGATAATTTCCCAAAATTGCTCACTGCCTTTGTCAGAGTGTATCTATCTATATGGTCTTTTGCAGACTGACCTGAGGCTATCTCACCCATACACTAAGCCAGCCATATAAGAACCAACTTTCATCCAAAAGCTGAACCCTTGCATTATCACCTTCCCTGATGGATTCATTGGCTCATCAACAAGATAATTAAGTAGTCTGGGTTTGTGTTAGCTGCCTCTGAACATGAGTATAAATGGTTCAGTTCTGACTGCAAAGAATGTGTAGACAATCCCTGTAATCATTTAAAAAAAAAAAATTGCCAAAACTACCTAGCTGAGTATTAACATATGCTAGTTTGGCTTTTGTACAGAAAGTGGCATTTTTTGAACAGTCCAGAAGCCAAATTCCTGAATTTTGCTCTCACCCTTGCTACATGGTTTGTGTTGTGTCCTTAGTGAGTTTCACTGCAGTATGCTTCATGTCTCCTCTTGTAATGTTCCATAGTCATTTGGAGCTTCAGAGGTTATAGATGCTACAAAAATATTAGGCATCATTACTGTATTAAAATGGAAGATTCTAAAAGGGCTATAAAGTGCTACCAAAACTAATTATAATAAGTGCACATTTATTTAGGTTAAACTACCGAAAGACCAGTAAAGAAGTTACACATGGCCTCCTCATGAATACTAATGGAAATCAAAGTAGTTAATGTGATTGCCATGAACACTGAAAGAATTAATTACCAGAAAAAAAGATACACATTTTTTTTAGCTTAGGCAGTTATTCACCTTTTTTTTCCCCCCGATTAAATTATTTCTACTGGAGACCATAAGGCTTTGCTAAAAATGCAGAACCTTTGTCTCCATTCCAAGTGAATAAGGTGCAGCTGGATGATATGGTAGTAATATATGGGAGCAAATACTTTATAAAGACCTCATTGCCATCTCCATTTTTCTGAAAAGTTCAAATCGCTTCCTCCTCAGTTTTGGTTGCCAATATAGTCATTCTGGTTAGAATTTTGGAATGCATATATTCTTATTTCTATTTAACATGTACCCCACAGCAGCTTTGAGAAGCTATTTTCGTTGGTTTTTTTTTTTCTGTAAGCAATGATTCCTCTCTTCTAGTTTGTTATTGAACAGTAAAATGCCAGAGAGGAATTAAAGCTAATTTCACTAGGAGATGCACTGAAAAACTACCTGAAGCAAAAGCTACTAGAGAAAATCTATCTTCTGTTTACAGCTGGCTCTTAAATGTAGTTGGTAATCAGGACCTCCTTCATTTTCAGTTGTCCAACAGCTAAAGAGGGTTTCCCAAGGTATGGCAGCTGTGGTAATTCATACCCCTCCAGCCTGGCCTCTTAGATCTCAAGTCCCTCTGCCACAGGGACCAGATATTGCAGTCCCACCTCGTCATGGGCTGACATGCTTTGAAGGCCAAAGCTCCTGCCTCCACCTCCTTCAGCTTAGAGTACATTCTGCCTTGACAGGAGCCTGGACCTACCCCTCACATTCTGCAAGCACTCACATCTTCTGCAGACGGGGACTGGATGAGGCTGCAATTACCTGCTATTGCCAAAATCAAACTCTATTGCAAAAATGTACCTGCCACTTTTAAGATTACATCTCAGTTTGCTCTTCTGGCATTTGTATTAACTGTTGGTACGTAGTCCTCCGAAGTAATAGTTTTATGTGATTTTTTTTTTCTCTCTCTGCATAAAACAAATAATACAGCTCTGCATAAGACATTGCAGGCAAGTAAGCTGACAAAAATCCCTCCCTGAAGGAAGATGTTGTCAGCATGTTGACATAGCTGGACTACGCCTGCTAAAAGGAGAGGGAATAAAAAAATCAATGTAGAAAACAAAGTAAAAATACTAAGCTCTTATAAGGTATTCTAAGATGGGCTGATTCCAGCAGCAAAGATTATTTCACTGCAGATGTTATAATTTAGTTACAGCTCCACGTGCACGATAAGCAATAGGATTTTACCTCTGTGCTGCTTTAGGAGCTGAGGTTGCCCACGAGCAGAAACCTACTGATATTTGTATAACTGTCCCTTCAAAGATTTCTTTTGCTGTAACACTGACCGAGACTCCCAAACACAAAAGTTAGCACAGAGACGCAGTGACCAAACTCCCCTTTTAGAGCAGATGTGTCCTATAGTAATTGCAAGCAATCCTTCAAGATTAATTTCTTCAAGAACACTTTCACTGTTTATTTCCAACCATTATAAATGTTCACACGGTAGGGACAGCTCTGGGAGATGATACTGAGATAGCTTTTTCCCTGACTACTTAAACTGCTCCCCACCGTCCCCAAACCCCATCACTTCTAGGTGATACCAACTTCTCCGAATCTAGCAGAGCAAGAACTTGAAGACAGCTTGTGCCCCACAGCTGGTGTGCCACCACGGCCTGGTGTGCCATCACGGGCCAGTGTGCCATCATGGCCTGCCTGCCCCACGGGGAGCTGTGACGTGGCAGGAGAGAGGCCAAGCGGCACGGGAAGGATGAGCTCCCACAGCCCTCGTCGCAGCAAGCAGCTGCACCAACGGAGCAGGGGACACTGTGGGAGCCCTGCTCCACCTCCCAAAGCTCACCTAGGCGTTCACCCTCTTTGAGGGAGCTCCTGGGACATCTATCTATGGGGAATTAAAACGCATGCAGCTAGATTTTTCAGTTGAGCCTCTCATATCTCAGTTAAATGTCCTGCTGACTAGTCTATTAGTGGTGTGCTGTCCTCAGTAGGTTTCTAGAGCCCTCCTGCTGTGTAGTAACTAGGTCTCTGCCCAAACATGAAAACCAAATGGCTGACCATTGGTCATTGTGTTAGTCATTTGGGTTCAGCCCCTACAGAGCCCAAGACTGATGTCCTAGTGCTGATTCTGTGTGATGCAGCCACCCGTCAGGGACCAGATGCCTGGGCCGGAGGCTGTGAAGGGCTCGGTGTCTCTCAGCACCTGTTGCTGAAACTGCTCTTTCTTGCTTAGGCACATACCACCTCAGCAGTAGGCTTGCTGCTCTACCAGCTCAGGCTTCCTACTGCCATTCCCCAAATCTACTGAGGAGCAAACAGAGACACACTAGAAACACTGCTGCTTTTTTGTGTTAGACTAAATAAGAGAGAAAACATTCAGTGTGAAGTAGTTGAAGTCCCATGGAAAAGTGCTTGTCTGAGGCTTTGGAGGTGACTCGCCAAATACTTGCTCAGGTCTGTTCCCAAGCGGGGCTCTGAGAGCTCCCTGCTGCCTATGGAGAACTGGCACATGCCAGATGCCTGGGTTATGCTCTCTTCTCTGTGGAGGCTGCTCTTCCCTGCATCAATTAGCTGTGCATTAAGGGGCAATGTCAGAAACCAACTTGCTAACCCAGAAGTGCTATCCCTCAGCTGAGGGATAAGATAGACATATGCACTAGTGTTAAGCTCTGCTGACAGTCAACCAGAACATCCGTGCTGCTGGCTTCTCCCCATCCCTGGTCTTGCTGTATGTGGTTGCCTGCCCTTGCAGATGAGTGGAGTTATAAGAATGTGTTATGCCAGAGCTCTCTGTTCCTCCTCAGAGACACTGAGGAAATTCAAAAGTCCCGGTGGGTATCTGATAAAGTTCTCATCAGCATGAGGTAGCGAGAGTAGAGTCCCAAGAAGCCTGGTGGCGGGAGTTCTCACAAACTTTGTGAAATGGGATTCTGCTGTACATGCCTGATCCCTCATCGTCCTGCATTTGGGGTGGGAGTACAGCTGCTTCCAAACATCCCAGGGCACCAGTTCTCTCATCTCTTTACTCTGTTTGGTGCAGCTGGTTGCCCTGACTTTCCTGATGAAAAATTTACACTTCCCCTGCAAAGGATCACGATTCAATTTACATGATTATTCAAAATTATTCAGTGCTTATGTTTCCCTAAATTCTAGGGAATGGATGTTTTCTTGATTCTGTTACAGCTTTTCGAGCTGTGTTGGTTAGTTGTGACCAATCACACCTGTCACATGAAGTCTAACATGCATACACAGGTTTGAACTCCTCTTTCCACAGCTTGATTGCCCATTGCAAGCAGGCACAAACAAGCCTAGGCTGCACACTGACCTAGCTCATCATCTCCCTGGTTTTGAGCTGTCTGGTTCAACCAGGCTAAAATGCACCAACGTGCCATGGGTAGTGGAAGGAAGCTCCTTTAAGAAGTAATAATAGCTGCTTTGTAGTAATTTCCTGGTTTTCTCTTCGTAGCTTCTTGCAATAGAGATGAACACACCAGAGAAATTCAGCTCCACAGCTGACTTAGTGATACGTTTGCTGGATACCAATGACAATGTCCCGAAGTTCTCCTCCGACTACTACATTGCCAGGATCCCCGAGAACTCCCCAGGAGGCTCAAATGTAGTTGCTGTTACAGTAAGTTTCATTCATCTCTTAAGAAATGTTCTCTTTTCCAGGTGTCTGTGGAGACTGTTCAAGTACTTTAAAAATAGTGGACAGAGGCAAGTAGTAAATCTTACTTGCTATTCAGCTTCTGGGCTGAACTCCAGTTCCTTTCCAGAATCAACAAAAAAAACCCACCTCTGAAAAAATAAAGTTTTAGGCAAACATTTTTCAGAACAACAAATTCACTTTGGTTTTTAATTAAAGGCCATCTGCTTTTAAGACAAATCACATGGTCTGTGAGTACTAAGAAAGCCCCAGTCAAATTGGTGTCCAGCAGGAAGATTCAGTTATGACTAAGTGGAATTGGATTTACTGGATTTGCTTGCTTAAGTATTAAGTAAAAACAAAACAAGATGGCTGCTTAGTAGGTATTAGTCTCCTCCTCCTATGAGGAATCTAGCTGCTAAATGCATAATTAAACACTTAATGAAGGCAAGAATATCACATTAAAATGCTTAGAGCTAGGAAAGAAAGATCCCTCTGTAAGTATCTTATCACAGTGGGAAAAGTATGCCTATAGATTTTCCAGTATCTCACACTTTCATTGAAAGAAAGACAGGGTATTACGTGGGCCCTGTGTGCTGGAGAAGCATTTCCAGCCGTTGGCGTGAGATGTCTCTCTTTAACGCAGCTGCTAGGACTGGAAACAGATCTCATGTCACAAAGCCAAGAAAGCTGCGGACCATGTGGGGCTCGGTGGGTGATGCAAGTCACCTTGTAGACCTCACAGGTAAGGATGATGCAGGCAGATTGCCAGAGATTTCCAGCACAGGCTGGCTGCAAGCAAGAAAGAAAATTAATTAGTCAGAATAATAAAGTGCTGAAGGCATATTTTAGGGATGGAAGAATGAAAGAAGTGGTGGGACATATACAATACAGAAAAGATTATTAGAGGAAACTAATAGGAAACTAATGTAGAAAACGGAGAGTCCCAAACATCACTATCTTTGCAGCAAGAGGAATAAAAGAGGTGGGCAGCAAAAAAAGAAACTTAAAAAAAGTTTGTAAAAGCAACAAAACTAGCCATTCTGAGCCAAGGTGCACAGGACAGTGTAGCTGAGGAGTCCATGTCAAATTTACTGTCATGTGCTGTCAACTCACTACTTGACCCAGATTCACAAATATACCTGACAAACTGAGATACTCCAAGTACTCAGGATGGCAATTCTGGCAGAAGTCCCAGGCATGCAAATGTTTTAGGATAAGTTAGGCAGTCCTAAAGGAGACTGCGGCCAAAATTATGGGGTGAGAGAATCTGACAAGCTCATGTCAAAGAACTAAAAAATACCTTTTGGTAGGGCTGCAGGTATGTTATTTTAACCATGCAGGAAAGACATTGTTCCAGTTTTCAACTATTTAAACAGGAGGATGAATGAATCGACCACTGCCACCATGAATTTTGATGGCCAGATACAAAGGTATAATAGAACACCGCCTCAAAGCTATCAGAGAAGCAGGAGCTTATAGAAATAGCTGTTACCAAATCAATAGCTTTCCTAATCCTGAGCTAAGAAAGGAAGCCAACAAGAGTCTGGAACAAAGATATCATCTGGTGTAGTATCTGCATTACTAAAAATCACACAGGCACGAGAGTGAATAAAATATAAACAAAGCTGAAATATTGTGTATAGTTTGAAACTTTTGTTATGCATTACTTTAAATTGAATCAATTAAGCAAGCAGAGGCTTAAAAAATACTCTACATAAAGTAAATAATTTTGTCTAGGGAATATACATTAATATTTAACTGATAATTAGGAAGGCTTGAGAGTGGGCATTTGTTCATGTCATTGAGATGAGCTTCATCTCTGTTAGAGGAAGGATGTGTTAAATGTCAGCAGACGGAGCCATCTGGTGGCTTTTTCCCTGCTAGAGCCTCTGGGCACCAGCCTCGCCAGGAAACTGCTTCCCTGGGACAGCCAGTGACGTTTCTGTGATTTCACCCTAAAAATGTGATGGCAAAAATAGGGAAAAGCATTTGGGTTTTTACATGGCCTGTTGTTAAAAGAGAAATGAAACATTTCTTTTTGCAATTTAGTAAAGGATGACTCTCTTATTTTCTTTTCTTAAGGCTACAGATCCAGATTCAGGACTTTGGGGAGAAGTCAAGTACTCTATCTATGGAACAGGAGCAGATCTGTAAGTAAAAAAAAAAAAAAAAAAAAAGAAAAGAAAAAGAAAACTACATAACCTCTAAGCAGAGTTTTAAAAGCATTGGGAAAAAAATAGGCTTATTCTTGACCTGCTCATTTCGAAGGACATTTATGTAATGTTCTTCGTGAGTTCTATGAAAACAACTGAAAAAACAGTGTGATCATTACACATCTACTTCATGAACCCATGGAATTTTACCGACAAGCCCCCAAAGAGACATAAGGCAGCTGAAGTACCAATACACAGGATCTGTTCAATCACTATTTGAAAAACACTTGTGAGAGAAAGAGCAGGTTTGGTCTAGTTGTTGTGAAAAGTCAGTTCTTTCCCCTTCCCTTTCCGTATAGCTGTACAAATAGCTCAGTTTCAACTCTTGTCAAAATGAATCAAAGACGACAGGACTTTCAAGAATACAAACTTCAGATCTGGAGGCCAGCTGCACTGAATGTTCAAAGCATTTTATATATTTAAACCTAATAGTCCTGTATCAGGGAAAAAGGGAATCCGATGCTTACTTGATTTTGTAATGATGCTTAGCTCCCTGTCCCTGTCTTTGGGGACAGTGCTGGGATAAGAACATCCTGAAACACTGGTTTCTCCCACACTGCTTCCATCCCAGCAGTTGCCCTGGCCCATTGGTTGGGGCTCCTGGCCATGGCTAGCATCACTGGCCATCACAGATATTGCTGCTATAGCCTGCAGCTCCTAGAGATGGTGGGGCTGCAGGGCAGAATATTGGAAATGAATGAGCTTTTCAGGCACTCATCCCCAGAATCCGTTTTTCTCTGTACACTATCCACCTGGAATTAACACTGAACTCTTCTTGTTAAGGTGAAAGCCATTTAGGAGGCACGATCAAAGTCCAAAATCCAAGATGTTAAGGGTGAACCTATTCTGTAGCCAGAAGGATACACATATGGGAGCATTTCCACAATGGATTATTTTGAGCTCTTCACTAAGTCCTTAAGCTAGCTGCTAACTACACAGAGGCAAGCAGGCAAAGGTCATGTCGTGCAGGCAGACCTCTTAGGTTTAGAACATAGCAGCTGGTGCAAAGAAGCTTGTGAAGGTTGTTGACGAAGGATTTAGAAAAAAATGTGAGCACAACTTTATTCTGATTGGAGTTACAGGGATGCTCAGACTCACTGTTTCTATGCTGTTGAATGGGGAAATTAAGATGTGAAGACTTTTTTTTTTTCCTTCTTAACTGTGATTCTCTTTTTTCTTTTCCTTGTGCCAGAATGGCATCACTCTACAAGGCTGAATTGATTTCGTAGCCCTGGAACCTTCAGATCTGCTGAACACACAGTTTGATGCAGATTTGAGAGTTTCAATTAGAGGCATGATTTTTTTCTGTCTCGGAGGTTATGTCAGTGGATATGCAGCTGCATTGGCAGAAAGATGAGTTGTATTGGAATAAGAGGAATAGTGTTAACTGTTGAAGATAAAACCATTATACTGGTAAACCTACATCCAAGCTGCCAGTGAGAGTAGGGTACACTATTGTAATGTCTTCATGTCTCTGTGCTTCTATTTTTCCAATAAAATGGGGGTGATGAGAGTCCTCTCTGCATGGTTAGGCTGGATTGGGTGCTAAGGAAGCGCTCAGCACAGGCACTGTCTCCTACCAAGAGTTTGCACAGCTCTTTCCACCTCCAGGTCTTGGCTTTCATCAAGGTTTGTATTTGTATTTAACAGGGTAATGACAACAATTGAAGATTCTGGATTATTAAGTGCCCCTTTTATAATCACTCTCAATTGTGCTCACGATTGGAATACAGAAAATATTTTCTTATCCTGTACATTAATTAAAGGGTATATAAAGCCTTTCATCTATTAAAAACCCTAGTGCTTGGAGCCTACACTACCAGTCTGTTTTAAACAGACACTGTTCTCTGTACCTTCTCTATAAATCCAAGCTTTTGGCTGACACTTTTGACAGCGTCTCACTAATTAAAAATGTGTAGAATTGAACTTGCTACAGATAAATTTGAACACCCACTCCATGCCAGTGCCAGTCTATGGAAAAGTGATTACTTTTGGAGGAGATAATTTGCCCTGCACTTCGGGGGATTTGAGAGCAGCCATTTTTCTTACCCATTCTGAGAAGTGAAGAGCTTAACTATGATATGCAGCACACTTCCCTTAGTTATTGAGGTGATATCAATCAATCTTAATTTATGCAGGACATGATCTAATACATTGTACTTATAAACTGAAAAAAAATAGGCAGTTCCTTAATGTTTTAATGCAAAGAAATCACTCTGGGAGAAGGCCATCACACTGAGCATTTACTGAGGACAAAGACTTTAACAGAAAATGCAGCTAAAATGGCTAATTGCACAATAGATAGAAAACCACCAGACACTGATAGTTCTCTGGTTTTCCAAGCCTAAAGGAACTAGCCAAAAATAGGTAGAGTGGGTGATCTGGAAACATCAGCCAGACAGGAGAGTAGGTGCAGAGTACCAAACTTTGGGCACAGCATTTCAACGTTTAGAGCCCATCTTTGCCCCAGGCCGTAAACATTAAGTCACCAAAAAACCCAAAAGTCTTTCCATGCCTCTTTTCCAGGTTCCTAATCCACCCATCAACAGGTATAATTTACACCCAGCCCTGGGCTGTATTAGATGCTGAAGTGAACTCAAAGTATAATTTCTATGTGAAGGCAGAGGACACAGATGGGAAATATAGCTTGGCTGAAGTGTTCATCACCGTGCTAGATGTCAATGACCACTCTCCAGAGTTCAATGAAAACATCCAGGAAAAGACGATGATCATTGGGTCACCGGTGAAGATAGAGGTGAGAGATGGCACAGTGTGTCACAAAGCAGAGTGCTTTGGGAAAGCCCCAGCTGTGCTGTTTATTGCTCAGGAATCATGATGAATGTCTGAAAGTTGGCTTTTCCTGGGGCTTTATTTTGCACATCCATTTGTGTGTAACAAATGGATTAAAGTGTGGAATGATAGTATTTACAGACTGCTGAGGAGGAGAAATAAATTCTATAGGCAAAAGATAAAGTTCTGTTACAGTATTTGAACCATCAGCTGGTGGAGGATCTGGGGTTATATAGGGATCAAAGAAGCCCAAGTAAGACGAGTGAATGAAAGTACAGGCTTTTGAATACTTAAACCTTCCTGCCATGCCTTTGTGCTCAACCACACAACTTCGCTTTGCGGAGTTGTGTTCATTGATCCAGTGTGGAACAGGAGGTAAAAAAACTGCAATAATAATTCACAGGCAAAGGAGCGGAACATACTATGTTGCACACATTTGAATGCATATAGTGAAGCCTGATTATACAACACCTAATGTTAGTAGAATAAATACTACAGCACAAAAACTAAGGCACCTGTAGTTTATAGTGTGGAGCTAATCTCATTGTTCTCTATCACTTCACATTTGTCCCCCACGCTGTGTGAGAAACTCCCCAGCAGTGGACAATTTGCATTCGACAGATAGGTTACGGTTCAGTTTTCCTGTGATTTTATTTAATCTCAAATAGAAATTGCTTATACAAAAAGAACTCTAGTCCTGCTGGTTTTTGCTAGAAAATGTAGCATAACTGATACAAGAAAAGGGGAAATTGTTTTTAAGATAAAACAAAACCAGCCCAGTCATCTCACAGCATGGATATTATCGGAAGCGAATGCTCAGAGACTTCTAAGAGTTTTGTCTTCAGGCAAAGATACAAACAATAACATCTATGTTCTTTACACTTCCCTTCCCAGGCTATAGATCAAGATGCAGAAGAACCCAACAACATCGTGGATTATTCCATCATGCAAGCAGATCCAGCCAATGTGTTTGACATAGACCAAAGCACTGGGGAAATCAAGCTGAAATCCTATATCCGCTCCCTGGACATTATCCACAACATCACAAAGAAAAAAGACTGCATATGGTCAGTGGTGGTGCAGGCCAAAGACCGAGGCTCCCCATCCTTCAGTACCACGGCAGTTCTGAAGATTGATATCACAGAGGAGGTAAGCAAACATTTTAGAAAAATCCTTGTGTGAGATGATCCTTGAGAAGCACCAAAGAGTGCCTAGTCACTGCTTGCTTCATCTCTAGGACTACTTTTAAAACACTTCAGGAGTTGAAATCAACAGCCAAAAAGTTGCCAGCCATTCCTTCCCCTTTCTTGCTAGCTCTGTTTTGTAGAGTGTTTCTAGAGCCTTGTGGTGAAGCTGGATTCTACAGCCACAAATGTAAAAGACATTTTGATCAGAGAAATTGCAAAGGTACAAAGGTAGGAGCATAGTGTGGTTGGGAGATGAGTTTCTTACATCTGATTGTTAGAGATAGATGCAAATTAAGAACTATAGACTCCTGAGAAGAAAGGTAAATCCTGACTGTTAAATTTCTGCTTTTTTGTTCTCATTCAGAAGAAAACAGTTTTATTCCCCTACAAAAAGTGAGTGGACAGCAGCTGTGGCCACAGTGAAATATATCAGACCAGTTTTACAAGTCAACATAAGTGACATAGGAAAAGTGAGGAAACTTTATAGAAATGCTTTAAAGTACATAGAATTTTGGATGTGAGTTTAATAATTGCAGTATTATTAGCAGACAAAACAAGAAGACTCTAAAAGATAGCACACATAGGTTGAGAGTTTCCTGTTAGTCCAACTTTTACATCAACTAAAGAACAGGCAGCGATTTATGGCAAGCAGCGCATGCTTGCATGATTCTTACTTATTGTAACTGCCTTGCCGTGCCTTTAAGTAGGTACCAGCAGGGAGGAAATGGGCTTTAAAGTCGATGAGAAACACACCATTAGCCTGACAGTCTCTGGACCACACACATACTGGGCAAAGATGCAAATCTCTTCGTACAGACAGCAGCTGGCCTTCTCTTTGTTTGGTCAAAATGCAGCCACTGCTCCTTTATCTGTTACAATCCTCCTCTGTTTTCTCTGTCTCCTCTTATTCCACTGATGCTCCTTATCAGGTGCAATTACGTGATACTTCTTGTATACAGTTCAGAGCCTGCTGGAAGTTAAAAGGTGTTTGCAGAACACTTGTGCTCCTTGGCAAGGTAAACTTAGCCAGCAGCAGCGCAAGGGTAAATCCCGGTCTCTGTTAGCACCTGCCCAGCCAAGGCTGCCGGAGCAGAGGGGCTGCCGGGCCTGGGGCTGCCTGTTGGGGCTGGCCAGCCCTGCCGCGGGCTCACCATGGGCAGGACGTGCTGCTTCAAGGCCCTGCCTTGTGGAGCTCGGGGACTGCGTGTGGTAAGTCTAGAGATTTAGCTGTTCTTATTGATATAAAGGAAATGAACTGCTTAACACTTTGATTTCCCATGGAAACCATAAGTTTTGATGGGTTTTATACAAGAAATAAGAACTGCTTCTCAGGGAAGTTTCAGGAGTGTGTGGCACCAGTTGGCCTCAAGGACTGTCCCCCAAGTTTGCCCCCAGCATCTAGCCTCCCAGCTGAGCTGGTAACCCCTCTGTTAACATGCGGGGCTAAGGTACAGGGCTAAGGGGTGTCGAGGGGAGGGAGGGTGCCCCACACCTCCTCTGCTGGGGGAAGATGTGTCCCTGAACTGGCTGGTGAAGGACATCTGGAAGGAAAAGAAGAGCAGCTGATGCTTTGGGATAAAGAGTTTCCTGGATTTGCTTCTAGTGCTTGAAGCAACATCAGCACCTGAGGAAAGAAGGTGTCTCGTACAAAGCCACCTCTCTGCTTCCTTTTCTCCTCCTCCAGGGGTACAGATTTGGCACAAAGTGAGGGAGCACCCTTCCTGATAAAGTCTAAAGGGGAAGCAGAGAGGGCTGTGAAGACATGGATTCCTCTCAGACACAGGTTTTCCCTTCTTCCCATGCTCTTCTCGATGCCAAGTCCTAACACAGAGCCTGAGATAGCAACAGCATCCTCTTTTTTCACTTGAGCAGGTCTCTTCA